ATCTCAGATAGAGGTATTCAGTTTACTTCCCAGTTTTGGAAATCTGTTCGGCGAGAGTTGGGTACTCAGGTGGAGTTGAGCACAGCTTTTCATCCTTAGACGGACGGACAGTCCGAGCGTACGATTCAGATATTGGAGTACATGTTGCGTGCTTGTGTTATTAACTTTGGAGGTTCATGGAATGAGTTTCTACTGCTTGTAGAGTTTGCTTACAACAACAGCTACCAGTCGAGTATTCAGATGGCTCCGTATGAGGCTTTGTACGGGAGGCGGTGTAGATCTCCAGTTGTTTGGTTCAAGCCCGGCGAGGCTAGACTATTGGGGGCAAATTTGGTTCAAGATGCCTTAGAGAAGGTGAAGGTGATTCAGGAGAGGCTTCGCACAGTGCACTCGCGTCAGAAGAGTTATGCGGACCGGAAGGTTCGAGATGTGTCCTACATGGTCGGTGAGAAGGTCTTGCTGAAGGTTTTACCCATGAAGGGTGTTATGAGGTTTGGGAAGAAAGGGAAGTTGAGTCCGCGGTTCATTGGGCCTTTTGAGGTGCTTCGGAGGATTGTGGAGGTGGCTTATGAGCTTGTTTTGCCTCCCAGCTTGTCGAGTGTACATCCAGTATTTCATGTTTCTATGCTCCGGAAGTATATTGGGGATCCGTCTCATGTTTTGGACTTCAGCACGGTTCAGTTGGATGATGATTTGACCTATGATGTGGAGCCAGTAGCTATTTTGGGTCGTCAGGTTCGGAAGTTGAGGTCAAAGAGTATAGCTTCAGTGAAAGTGCAGTGGAGAGGTCGGCCCATAGAGGAGGCTACCTGAAAGGCCGAGCGGGAGATGCGGAGCAGATATCCTCACCTGTTTGAGGCTTCAGGTATGCTTCTTGACTCATTCGATGACGAACGTTTTCTTAAGTTGGGGAGGATGTGACGACCCGGCCAGTCGTCTCATGGTTACCGCTCCGTTTTCCCCTATTTTAGCTTCTTTACGCTTCGTTATCCGTGTTTTATGTGATTAGGTTTATTAGTTCGAGTTCGGAGAGGATTTGGTAAGAAATGAGACACTTAGTCTCTTTTAAGAAGGCTTAAGTTGGAAAAGTCAACCGAATATTGACTTATGTGTTAGAAGGCTCAGAAGTGAGTTCTGATGGTTTGGTTAGCTTCGGGAGGTGATTTGTGACGTAGGAGCGCGATCGGAATGAGTTTTGGAGTTGTAGAGAAGATTTAGGCTTAAATTGGCGAAGTTGATATTTGGGGGTTCCGGTTGATAGGCGAGATTTTGATATAGGGGTCGGAATGGAATTCCGAGAGTGACAGTAGCTTCGTTGTGTCATTTGGGATGTGTGTGCAAAATTTTAGGTCATTCGGACGAGATTTGATAGACTTTTTGATCGAAAGCATAATTTAAGAGTTCTTGGGGTTCTTAGGCTTGAATCCTATGTTAAATTGGTGATTAATGTTGTTGTGAGCGTTCCGAAGTTTTGAACAAGTTTGAACGATGTCATGGGATGTGTTGGTACAATTGGTTTAAAGTTCCGGGAGTTCCGAGTAGGTTCCGGGATGTTTTAGGCCAAAAATCATAGCTGTAGCGGGTCCAGAAGGGTTGCAGGCCTCATAACTCACCCACGCGGTCCGCATAAAAAGAAGTGCGGCCATGGTATGTGCTGTACGGACCGCACAAAATGGTGTACGTCCGCGGTAGGTGTTGTGCGGACCGCACAAAATGGTGTGCGGTCGCGGTGAAGAACATTCCGCTGGTACTACTTTGGAAGCTCATATCTTTTGAACTATAAGGAATTTTGAGATGATTAAAACAAAAAGTTGTAACCCTTCGTGTCTAGTTTCCAGAAAAGGAAAGATATCGCAATTTGGACATCTATAGGGAAAGTTATGACCAAAATACTAAAGTCTGTCATTATAGAGAAAAGTCTATGCGGCCGCGGTCGTTTTTGTGCGGACCGCACTGGTTTTGTGCGGACCGCGGTCGATTTTGTACGGCCCGCGGAGGTGGAGATCTGTGGGGTACTCTATAAATATGAAGGTTTGGGTTTTATTTGATATTTTGACCTACACAGCTCGGATTTTGGCGATTTTTCGTAGATTTTTCAAGAAATTCATCGGGGATAAGTGATTCTAACTCAGATTTGGCTAGAGTACATGAATATATCATTGAATTCTTCATTTAATTTGTGATTTGGGATGGAATTTGGGAAGAAAATTTTGAAATCTTTCAAAAATGTAAAATGATGATTTGAAGGACCAAATAGTATCGAAATTGGATAATTTTCATATGGTTAGACTCGTGAGAGCATAAGGATTCGAGTTTTGTGAATTTTGTAAAATTCCAAGATGTGGGCCCAGGGGTCGGGTTTGACCAAATTCTAGAATTTTGTTGTAATTCGATTGTTTTCGCTTGGGCTTTTTTCCTTTAGCCTATTGTGATGTATTTGTTCTGATTTTGGATAGATTCGACGTGCGTGGAGGCCGATTCGAGGGGTAAAGGCATCACGAGATAGAGATTTAGCCGGTTCGAGGTGAGTGATGATTGTAAATGATGCTCTGAGGGTTTGAAACCCTGAATTGCACATCGTAGTGCTATATTGAGGTGAGACACACGATCGATGATGAGCGTGGGGTCTTTTACTACTGGGGATTGAGACTTGGTCCGTCCCGACTGGTGATTTTACCGCGTATTTGGCTGAAACTTATTTGTTATCATCATGATTTGGGGCTAATTGCCATATTTGGGCTTCGTGCCAACTATTTGAACCCTTCGGGGATTTTGACTGATTTTCCTCACTATACTTGTTAAAAATCGTATCGTCAGTCATGTTTCTCTCTGTTTTAAATAATTCGAGCCGGTTTTGTCATATTATTCCTAAATGAGAGGAATTTGTAGGCTGAGATCCCTATCTTCTATTATTGTGCCCGAGAGGTTGTGAGGATAATGACTAAGTGGGGTTGAGAACCCAATGGTGAGGATATTATATATGTTATGGATCGGGCTGCACGCCGCAGCAATATAGCGCTTGGGCTGTAGGAGCCCCTCTGGAGTCTGCACACCCCCAGTGAGCGTAGTCGATTATCTTTATGGATCGGGCTACACGCGGCAGCGGTTATTCTGATTTCTGTTTTTATGAGAGATATATGGGTCAAGAGCTGAGAACGAGCACCAAGTGATGAGAGTGAGCCCGAGGAGCTGATACTGTTCTGAGAGATTAACATTGTGCTCGAGGGGTGAATTTTTGCTTGTTACTTACCTGCTAAATTATCATTTTACCTGATTTAAAGAGATTTCACTTGTCGTCTTCACTGATTTACTGTTTTAAGTGATTTTTACTGCTTGATATAGAATTATTTTGTGCCTTTACGTGTTTTCTTGCTTTCAGCCATTATTTATGATTATTACTCACTGAGTCGGAGTACTCACATTACTCCCTGTACCGTGTGTGCAGATTCAGGCATCGCAAAGTCCGCTCCTGAGTGTTGATCCTCACAGTCCAGGCAGTATTTTCGGAGACTACGAGGTAGTTGTTGGCGTCCGCAGCCCCGTGCCTCCCTTATCTTACTATTTTCATGTCCTTGAACTTCTGTATCGGATTTCGTATCTAGTAGACCGGTATCCAGTTTTATTAGTTGCTCATGACTTGTGACACCCCGATTTCGGCTGTGTCGGGATGGTTTCTACTGTTGTTATCGTTACTTCTGCAAATTATGGTTATTATATCATTTTTTAGAACTATTTATGGTATTTAGCTGTTTAAACGAGGTGTTCTGCTTTGGTTTGGCTGGCCTTGTCTTCACGAGAGGCGCCATCACGACCGGGTTCGGGGTTAGGGTCGTGACACAAATAGAACTCCCCTGCCTTCAGACATTGAATGCTTGGGAATGAAATCACTCCAACATTCCCTTCTTTGATAACAAATTGATAGTTCACTAATCAATTATCACATTCATCCAGGTAATCCCACGGAAAATGAGGGAATTATAATTATTAGATATACCTTTCTCTAATCAAATTCTAAACCAGAAAGCTCTTCGTTGTAGGATTGAGTAAGAATGTAGATACGCGTAGTTGCTGAAATTATTGATCATTTTGAAGTGCAGCCATCTATGTTATAGCCAGCGTTCTATTTATAGATAAAAAGTGGCAACTCCAGGACCATAGTTAATGGACAAAATTAATTATCTGTGAAACCCTCAGCCAAATCTTACCAACATAATAGCGTATCAAATCTAACTTCCTTGCAATTAACCAACAGCATGTGTAAGAAAATTGAAGACTGGTTCGTCGTATTATTATGTTCTTGCAGGCTGGTTATAATATAGATGACTGCACCTCCAAATGATCAATGATTTCAGTAAATATGCTTGTGAAAACTTTTGTATTGATAACTATTTACATTCTTACCTAGGCCTACAGATCAATGTCAGAAAAGAAGTCTGATCACAATGATCTGACTACAACATCTCAACTTAAATGTTTAAAAATTAAGATTCAGAATGGAAGTTGCAAATTGAGTTCGCCTATGTAGCAGTATCAAATAGCATGTTAAGGCTGAAGTATCAAGGTTAAGTCCATAGTATACCAAGTAAACCACAAAATACAACCATATTTGTATACGTTTTGAGTGGAATATTATCTTAAAAGATATTTTTATAATCACGTGCAATTAGTTCAGACCACAACTTAATTTCTGTTATTTCTTCTTGTTTCATTACTCTTCTTTTTTCCTTAATTTTTTCCATTTTTCTATGAGGGGAGGGGGTCGTCATTGGATTCTATACATTTTGTGAGGATTTCCTAATATTTCATTCATAAGAATTGAAGGTGAGAGAGATTCCATAGGAATAATGCCTTCAAAACATTTTTTTTGAAAGAAGGAAAAAATAAAAACTAAGGACAACTCTACGGATGCACACAACACAACAAAAGACAAGAGTAAACCAGTCATTGTTAGAAAATTAATTGATAATATTGACCAAGTATAATAAGAAAATAAAAATAACTTATCGAATAAAACTATGTCGTGGCAAGCCATTGTCTTGAAAGCGATTTCGATCTGACTGGATGTAAATCGTTAAGACCGCTCGCTCCCCAAATGATCAGCTAAAATAGCTCCTTGACCAATCTTCAAACAAAATAACAACTAAAAATTAATGGATAGAAACGTCAAATATGTCACTGATTTTGCCTTTATGACACTTCCTAATCCAAGTGGATATTAAAAATTTACATTCTCTTTGTTAAGTTTTATTGAATGAGGTGCTATTAAATAAATTTTGGGCTTCACACTCCACCAATTAAGTGCAAAGCGAGTGGTAACACTCATTCTAATGGCCCATAGGCAATAACTGAACTTTATGTGACCACACAATTCCTATAAGAAGAAGAAATCCAAATAAACGCTTTAACTCGACGAGAAACCTGGGAACTGTAGTTGTTCCCGGTGCTAAAAAATGAAATGTCGAACAAACACAAACGTTTTCTAAAAGAAATCAACAAACCAAAAAGATACCCAAAGAAAGATTAAAATACTAAAATTTGCAGCCCAAGCATTCCTAATCGACCACATACCTATTAAGATAGTTGTAGTGAGAGGGAAAGAATGAACTTACCTGTAGATTCCACCGGATAAAGAGAGCTTCACGCGGAGATGAGAGAAAGGACTGAAAGCCTAGGATTTTGTTACGTTTTCGTATTATTATCAAAAATGATGACAGGTCTCTGCTGGCATAAATGTTGTGGGTCCCATGGTACTGCGACCTTTTCAAGTCTAACTTTGCCCTTGGTTTTACTGTTATTTATACTAAGTGAGAGAAAAGTGAAATCATAAAACTACCAACAAGGGCATCATAAAAATTTTGCCAACTCCAATGCAGCTGTTGATATTCTCCAGCAGAATTCCCAACATACCTGTGAGGACGACGAAAAACACCTCAACTCCCGCTTCTAAATAAGTAGATTTTTGGCATGACTTGTTGGAGCCGACTTATAGCCCGTTTGGCCAAGCTGCAAAAATCAACTTATTTTGAGAATTGCTTTTTTCCAAAAGTGTTTTTCTCAAAAGTACTTTTGGTGAGAAGCAGTTTGTGTTTGACTAATTAGTTTGAAAAGCACTTCTGAGCAGCAATTAGTGTTTGGTCAAGCTTTAAAAAACTGCTTCTAAGTGTATTTTTCTAAAAAGTGCTTTTGGAGAGAAGATATTTTTTTCTGCTTCTCCAAAACTGCTTCTGCTTCTCCTCAAAAGCACTTTTTTTTCTTCTAGAAGCTTGGCTAAACACCTTAATTTTTGCCCAAAATTGCTTTTGGCAAAAAAAAAACATTTTTGGCCAAAAATAAGCTTGGCCAAACAGGCTATTAGTATAAAAGCAAATTTTTTATTAGAGTTGAAAGATAAAAAGATATGTGCGCGTACTATCTCTCAAAAAATTATTGGTAAAGGCGATTTTAGTACTGTACATATAATTAATTTATATTCAAATCTTTTCCTTTTATTTCTAAGTTCCAAATTCAACAGGACACCTCACATAAAACGAAAAGGACAAGATATGATTTAAATTTAGATATTAATTTTGTTTTCATGGTAAGTTATATGCGATTAACAACCGTGAAAAAAGGAAAGCCAACAATGGTAAGCAGTATTTTCTTTTCTTTTCCTTTTTAGTACTCCTTAGTACAAATGAAATATAACAAGATAATTCTTACCGTTTGGACAATATTAGATTTGTTGTACAATCCGCTTTCGATATACTCCGTTAAAACCTGTTGTTTTGTTACTAGCGTGTTCTTGTTTTGTTACATTCAGTTTTTCATATATTATGTTAAAACATGTTGCTTTGTTCTTAGTGTGTTCTTGTTTTGTTACTTTTCATTTTCGATATCCTATTCATCTGTTGCTTTGTTCCTAGCGTGTTCTTTATTAGTCGTTGTGCTCTAATTGTGGTTAATTTTTTTACCTCACTTGTATTTGCTTGCGGACTTTTTTAGCATCCTTTAGGGTATTTAGTCTCACATATGTTGCTGCTACTATCATTCCTAGTTCATTAGTTCTATCCCTACTTCTGTGCCTTTTAATTTCGGACTGTTTGCCTTGTTTATTAGTTTGCTGCTGCTTTTATCGTAGTTCCTGCTTAGTGTGTACTCCCTCCATTCCAGATTACGTGAACCTATTTCCTTTTTGGTCCGTTCCAAAAAGAATGAATCATTTTTAAATTTGAAAACAATTTAGCTTAAACTTATAATTCTAACCCTAATGAGAAGCTTTTATAACCACACAAATTCCCTAGGCCTCTTTTTAATTTGTTTAGGACCACAAATTTCAAAAGTCTTCATTTTTTCTTAAACTACGTGCCCAGTCAAACAGACTCACATAAATTGAAACGGAGGGAGTATTAGATTATAGTGGTTGTACTGAATGATGGCAGGGTAAGGTCATGTCCTCAAGGGAGATGGGGGTCCAAAGGGGTGAGGGTAGGGACAAGGGGTAGGGGTGGTAAGGATGCTCCAGGTTGAGAGTTTGGTGTTGGTACATAGGGACTTTGACGGAGAAGTCAATAAAGTTAGCAAGGATTCTCCATAAGAGGAAGACCGATATAGGTTGTCTCCAGGAGACTAGATGGGTGGGAGATAAGGCATAGGATATAGACGGGTTTAAGCTCTGGTACTCTGGACGCGTGGGGGGCAAGAATGTGGTAGGTATTTTGGTTTATACGGATCTTCGAAAACTAGCGGTGGAGGTTAGGAGGGTGAACGACAGGCTGATGAGCATTAAGCTAGTTGTTGAGGTTTTTACTTTAAACGTGATTAGTGTGTACGCACCTCAAGTAGGTTTGGACAAGGAGGTCAAAAGGCATTTCTGGGAGGATTTGGATGAGGTTGTGCATGGTATTTCGCACATTGAGAAGCTATTTATAGAAGGAGATTTCAATGGCCACATTGGGTGGGGAGACATTTGGGTCTACGATGACGTGCATGGCGGCTTTGGTTTCAGAGTTAGAAACGGAGGTGGAACTTCACTACTGGATTTTGCTAGGGCTTTTGATTTGGTGATAGCTAACTCAAGTCCCGAAGAAGGAAGATCACTTGGTCACCTTGCAGAGTTCGATGGCCATGACCCAGATTGATTATCTACTCTTCAGGAAGTCTGATAAAGGTTAGTGCGTAGACTGCAAAGTCATCCCGAGTGAGAACCTCACGACTCAGCATAAGCTGTTGGTCAAGGACTTGGAGATCATGAGGAAGCGAAGAAAGAGGATTGTGTTTGGTCTACCTAGGATCAGCTAGGGAGCTTTGACTAAAGATAGAGCATATGAGTTGGGGATAAGTTGCTGGCTATGAGAGCATGGAGGAGTAGTGGAGATATGAGTGGTATGTGGACTGCAACTGCGAATTGCATTAGGGAGGCTGCTCGAGAGGTAAGGGGTATCGAAGGGCTCATTTAGTGCCCGCAGAGAAGATTGGTGGTAGAGTACTAAGAATCAAGGCAAAGTGAAAGCCAAAAAAATGGGCATATTTGCAGCTGTTGGAAAACGTGGACGAGGAGGAAAAGGGACAAATAGGGAGAAGTATAAGATAGCTAAGAATGAAGTGAAGTTAGCGTTTACAGCGGCCAAGATTGTTGTGTTTGAACGGTTGTAGGAAGAACTTGGAGGCAAATAAGGGGATAAGAAGTTGTACAGACTAGCCAAGGTGCGAGAAAGGAAGGCACGTGACCTGGATCAAGTGAAGTGCATCAAGAACGAGGAAGACAATTTTTTGTTGCATGAGGCACTTATTCGACGAAGATGATAGACTTACTTTCATAAACTCTTAAACGAAGAGGGGGTAAGAACATTGAGCTAGTTAACTTATAATTTATAACACTCCGAGAATCATCGGGACTTTAAGCATTGTAGGCGTATAAGAGTCGAGAAGGTTGAGGAGGCTATGCGTAAGATGTGCAGGGGGAAAGCGACCGGTCCAGATGAGATTCCGATGAAATTTTGGAAGAACGTGGGTAAGGCGGGCTTGGAGTGGCTTACTGGTTATTTAATGTCATTTTTAGGACAAAGAAGATGCCCAAAGAATGGAGATGGAGTACGACGGTCCTGTTATATAAGAACAAGGGTGATATCCAAAGTTGCAATTGTCGCACCTCCTTTTTACCGCGCCCGCGGGGCGCGTGGTGGAGTTTTCTCCAATTGAAGGACAGTCGAAACGGGATTTATTTAATTATTTCAGAGTCACCAC